AACTTATAGGAAAAAAACAATAGTAAGAGATAACTGGAAAAAAAAAATAGACGTTGGTGTAGATGCGATGAACAGGGAACACTTCTACACTGCTGGTGGGAATGTAAACCAGTATAACCACTACAGAAAACAGTGTGGAGATTCCTTAAAGAACTAAAAGTAGAACTACCACTTGATCCAGCAATCCCACTACTGGGTAACTACCCAGAGGAAAAGAAGTCATTATATGAGAAAGACACCTGCACATACATATTTATGGTAGTACAATTTGCAATTGCAAAAATGTGGAACCAACTCAAATGCCCATCAATCAATGAGTAGTTAAAGAAACTGTGGTATATATAGCCAGGCATGGTGGCTCACACATATAATCCCAGCACTTCAGGAGTCTGAGACAAGTAGATCACTTGAGGTCAGGAGTTCGAGACGAGCCTGGCCAACATGGTGAAACCTCATCTCTGCTAAAAATACAAAAAGAAACATTTTCCATCTGTCTCTAAGGGTGACCACCTATGTAGACTCCATCTACATAGTAAGAACCTTGATCCCCACAGTCCCCGATCTTAACCCAAACAGTCCTTTCCATTGATTCCAAGTCTTTTTTTTTTTTTTTTTTTTTTTTTTTTAATAAAGATGGGGTTTCACCATGATGGCCAGACTGGTCTTGAACTACTGACCTCAGGTGATCCACCCACCTCGGCCTCTCAAAGTGCTAGGATTACAGGCTTGAGCCACCATGCCCGGCCAATTCCAGGTCTTTAGATAATCGCTTTTGAGGGAGTGGGTGTTGGAGGGAACAGGGTCTCACTCTGTTGCCCAGGTTGGAGTACAGTGGCATGATCATAGCTCACTGAAGTCTCAATCTCCTGGGCTCCAGTGATCCTCCCCATTCAGCCTCCTGAGTAGCTAGGACTGTAGGCATGCACCACCATGCCTGGCTAATTTTTTTTTTTTTATAGATAGGGTTTCACCATGTTGCCCAGCCTGGTCTCAATCTCTCGGGCTTTAGGGATCCTCCCAACTTGGCTTCCCAAAGTGCTGGAATTACCGGCATATGCCAACACTCCTGGCAAGATAATAACTTAACTCTTTCAACTAATTGCCTATCAGAAAATCTTTCAATATGACTGAACACGGTGGTTCACGCCTGTAATCTCAACACTTTGGGAGGCTGAGGCAGGTAGAACACTTGAGCCCAGGAGTTCAAGACCAGCCTGGGCAACATGGCAAAACCTTGTCTCTACTAAAAATACAATAACAACAAAAAATTAGCCAGGTATGGTTACACATGCCTGTAGTCTCAGCTTCTAGAGAGGCTGACATGGGAGGATCACATGAGCCCAGGAGATTGAGGTAGCAGTGAGCCATCATTGCACCACTGCACTCCAGCCTGGGCTGCAGAGTAAGACCCTGTCTCAACAACAACAAAAAGAAAATCTTTGAATCCACCTATGACCTGTAAGCACCCCTTCCTCTACTTTGAGTTTTTCTGCCTTTCCAAACTGAACCAATGTATATATCACTTGTATTGATTGATGTCATCTGCCTTCCTAAAACCTATACAACCAAGCTGTAACCTAATCACATTGGACACATGTTCTCAGGACTGCTTGAGACTGCGCCTCAAGCCATGGTTACTCATATTTTGCTCAGAATAAACCTGTTTAAATATTTTACAGAATTTGGCTTTTTTTTTTTTTTGAGTCGGAGTTTTGCTCTTGTTACCCAGGCTGGAGTGCACGATCTCGGCTCACCACAAGCTCCGCCTCCTGGGTTCAAGCAATTCTCCTGCCTCAGCCTCCGGAGTAGCTGGGACTACAGGTGCACGCCACCATGCCCAGCTAATTTTTTTTTTTTTTTGTATTTTAAGTAGAGACGGGGTTTGACCAGGATGATCTCGATCTCTTGACCTCGTGATTCACCAGCCTCAGCCTCCCAAAGTGCTGGGATTATAGGAGTGAGCCACCGTGCCCGGCCTGGCTTTTTTTTTTTTGAGACCAAGTCTCACTCTATCACACAGGTGCCACCTCAGCTCACTGCAACTTCTGCTATCCAGGTTCAAGGTATTCTTGTGCCTCAGCCTCTCAAGTAGCTGGGGCTAGAGGCACATGCCACAACACCTGGATAATTTTTGTATTTTTAGTAGAGACGGGGTTTCACCATGTTTGCCAGACTGGTCTCAAACCCCTGACCTCGAGTGATCTGCCAGCCTCAGCCTCCCAAAGTGTCGGGATTACAGGTGTGAGCCACTGCACCCAGCCAAGTTTGGCTTTTTTGGTTAACATAGGTACTGAGGTTTATAAAAATATTATAGTAAGAAAACAAGCCAGGCATGGTGGCTCACACCTGTAATCCCAGCATTTCAGGAGGCAGAGGTGGGAAGATTGAGCATAGGAGTTCGAGACCAGACTGGGCAACATATCAAGACAACATCTCTACAAAAAATACAAAAATTAGTGAGGTGTGGTGGCACATGCCTATAGTCCCAGCTACTTGGAGGCTGAGGCAGTAGGATCACCTGAGCCCAGAAGTGAGCCATGATCATGTCACTGCACTCCAGCCTGAGTAACAGAGTGAGACCCTGAAAAAAAAAGAAAGCAAGAAAGAGAGGGAGGGAGGGAGAAAGGGAGGGAGGGAGGGAAGGACGGAGGGAAAGAAAAAAGAAAAGAAAAGGCAAAGAAATAACAAGGTATACTCAAATACTAAAAAGCTGTACGGCCATCTCTAGCACAATCTGCCTCAGCCTATTGTGAGAGGAGGTCAGGTTCCTGGGAGACATGTGTCAGGACAGGGCAAATTGTCTGACCGGCCACCTAGGCATTTCCTATTCCACATCCAAAGGAGGTTGCAGTGGCCCCTGAGTCTGTTTTTGAATGTCCTTCTTCCTGAAGGGACTGGACTGCAACTCATAGCTTTGCTGCCCCCAGATATGATCAGTAGAAGCAACTAGGCTACAGGGAGCATTAGGCAATCTGCCACAAAATGCCTTGAAGAAGGAGCAGGGGGCAGACCTGATGTAAGTCTCTCAAACTGGGGAAAGTGTTCACAGGGCTTCTATAGGGCTGCAGGGCCTCTGCATCTTGGAATGGGGTCACATTCCAACTGTCGTGAGGACAATAAGTTGGCCACAGGGCCACCAAGAGTCAAAAGGGACCAGGCTGACCAGCTGAGAAGGACCCTGCAATCTGAAAGGCGTGGGTGTGAGACCCAGCCCTGCTGCCTGTCTGGGCTGTGCCAAGTCTCCGTGCTGACTAACATACCACTGGTACTCAACCTGGTGAGCTCTGATAGCCCAGCCTTTCCTGCCTTCCTGGAAATCCCCAACCCCAGTGCTCCGGCTCTGCCTCTCTAGGCTTATCCTGGGCACGTAACAGCTAATGGGGCTTCTCCTGTCTGGCCTCCTCAGGAAAAGCTTTGCTTTTCATTTGCAGGTTCAGTCGACCCTGATGTCTCTAGGTAGCTGACCTGTTCCACCTAACCTGGACCCATGAATCCTACCTCAGTATTAACCTATATGGCAGGGTCTTCAAACATGGCTTCCCAAGACATGAAGTCTTGATGTGACTTGGTATCTTCAAGAGAGAGTGTTTGTCCCAGTGTCAGACAGCTAACTAGTAGCAGAGTTGGAAGAGAAACCGGGTCCTGAATTCCCAGGGGTTAATCAGACACAGAGTGTAAATATAGCAATGCCCCCTGCAAAGATGCCCACTCTAACTTCTGGATGGAATCTGTGGAGGTGTTACCTTCCATGGCAAAAAGGCATCTGCAGATGTCATGAATGGTATGGACCTTGAGATAGGAAGACAATTCTGCATGATTGAAGTGGGCCCAGTTCGATCACCAGTCCCTAAAAGCAGAAAGCTTTTCCTGGCTGGATAAGAGAGATGAGATGGAAGAAAAAGGCTGTCTACAAGGAAGGTTCTACCCAAAGTAGGAGGAATTCAATTAGCCAACCTTCTCAATTTTCTCCAGAATTTGAAAATGATATAGAAAGAAGAATAGAAGGAGCTAAAGCTGAAAAGCCTGAGTCCCATGAGAGCCATAAAAAAGCTAAGCCATTCATTGGTTGAAGCCATAAGATGGAGAAGTGCTGTGTAGAGTTTCCAGGGACAACCAGCAGTCAGCAGCAGCCAACTCCATTATAATCTCATGAAACTAGTCATATATGCAGTCTGTCCTTGACCAAAACATTGCTACAGACCACATGGGTTTATAAGTTAACATAGTACAGGAAGTGCCATCCCACCACCTCTGCCATTTGCCACTGGTTAGTGGAAAGTCACAAGTCTCACCCACACTCAAGGCAAAGGAATGATCCCTTTGCCTTGATTCCTACACAAGGGTAGGAACACCAGGCAGGGATCATGGGGCACCAACCCAGAGTCTTCTGCCACACATAACATAGGTGCTGCTGGGGTGGGGACAGTGGTACAGAATGTGATACCAGGAGGAGAAAGACTCTGAGTTTGCCTGGGGTAATAAACAGGTGGAGGTTATAAAAACGATCAATATGGACAAGTTCAAAAGAAACACATCCTTTATGTATAGCTCATTTAGCATGTGTAGCTTAGCTGGAGATAAGTAAGGGTATGCTTATGTTACATGAGTGACCTAGAAGAAACTAGGCTTTCCCTGACTAGGAAATTGAGTCAAGGGGAATATTTGGACAGAGGGCAACTGCAGAGAGTCAGTATCATTAGACTGCTCATGCAGTGACTGAGTGAGAACCACCTGGATCCAGTGGTAAAGTGGTCCACCAAAGTGTAATGACCTGGCTGACTCTGGGCACACTGCCTATGTGTTAGCCCTTCTCCACAAGGAGCAGTACTGTTCAATAAAAACTTGCAGGCTACTACCACCAGTTTGCCCTTGAATTCTAAACACACACACACACACACACACACACACATTTAAAAAAGAGAAAAAAATTCAACAAAGTGTTGAATCACCCAATGGGTTCTTCCTATCCACTGTACAGACAAAAGTAATCCACTGAGACCTTGGCATTGCAGCAGAGAAAGTGTTTAATTGACAGGAGGTTGGCAACATGGAAGACCAGACTTATCACTCAAATCAGTCTCCCCAAAGGCTCAGAGCTTAGAGTTTTATGGACAATTTGGTGAGCAGGGGGATAGGGAATGAGTGCTATGATTGGTTGGGGATGAAATCATCAGGGTGTGGAAAACAGTCCTCATGTGCTGAGTCTGCCTCTGGATGGGACCACAAGACCAGTGGAGCCATGAGTCATGAGTACAGGTAGGATCAGTCTGAAAGATACCTAAAAAAAAAAAAAAAAAATCTTTACAACAGTGATGTTATCTGTAGGAGCAACTGGGGAAGTCATAAATCTGAGATCTCTGGCCACATGACTCCTGAGCAGTAAGATTATAGAAACTGAACACATTTTAGGAGAGTTCCGGCCCCTCTCATAATCCTATTCTCATGGCCTTTCATTGGACTTACAAAGGTGGTTTGGGTCCCCAAGCAAGGAGGGGCTTAGTTTCAGAGACGGACTATTATCACTGCAACCTCCACCTCACAGGTTCAAGCGATTCTCGTGCCTCAGCCTCCCGAGTTACTGGAATTACAGGTAGGTACCATCACATCTGGCTGATTTTGTACTTTTAGTAGAGACAGGCTTTCTCCATGTTGGTCAAGGTGGTCTCAAATTCTTGACCTCAGGTGATCCACCCGCCTCAGCCTCCCAAAGTACTGGGATTACAGGCATGAGCCACCGCACCCAGTGTAACATTTTCAAAGATGGTATCTGAGACTGGATGTAGTGGCTCATGCCTATAATGCCAGCACATTGGGAGGCTGAGGTGGGCAGATCACTTGAACTTAGGCGTTCGAGACCAGCCTGGGCATATTATGAAACCTTGTCTCTAATATATATATATATATTTAAACTAGTAGGGTGTGGTGGCATGTGCCTGCAGTCATGGCTACTCAGGAGGCTGAGGCAAGAGGTTAGTTGAGCCTAGGAGGTCAAGGCAGCAATGAGCTGCGATCATGCCACTGCACTTCAGCATGGGCTGAACTGAGACCCTGTCTCAAACACACACACACACACACACACACACAGACAAAAGGATGACATTTGAAACTGTGGGAATACATTAAATCATTCAGGAGGCCAGTATAGCATGAGAGCGTTGGAACCCTGAAGAATGCTGTGTTTATGAGAAAGACGAGGTATAATGGAGCTTGAGACAGGAGTAGAAGCAGAAGACAGCCTGGTTCTAGAGGCCAAGGGAAGGTATGAGGAGGAATTACTACTGGTCAGTAAGCTAAACAAGAAGAGATCTAAGCGAGGATCACTGCGATTGAAGTTGAGTAGGTGTTGGCAACTTTTGGGAAGCAGTCTGAGAAAAGTGGCAACTACAACAGGGAAAAGGACAGCCCAGGCAGAGAGGAGGTTGAAGTGTCACAGCAGTCACTTTTTAGAAGTTTGAGAATGAAGGGAGGAAGATGAAAAAGGAAAGTGGCTAGAAGGGGAGGAGTAGCTGAGATTCATCCCTGGGCTATAGCCAGGAGCTACTGTCTTCTATCCAAGCAGTTGTCTTACACAGCTGTGCATGACAGGAAGAGGAGCTTTGAGCCCCATTTATTTCATAACTAACCACAAAGCTCCAGGCCTAAATGACCATCTGGTAAGGGAAGTGGGGGCCTTAATCTCTTATCAAACGCAAATGTGGCCTCAGCAGATATGGCTAAGACTTCTACAGGTGCATAAACTCCAACCCTGAACCCCAAACAAAATGACAAAATAAAACTGCCCCCTTCAGGTCCTTTATAACGCGGAAAGCGCGCGCAGGTGCGCCCGGGCCGCCCGGAGCCCGGCGTCCCGCCGGCCTGTTTCCACAGAGCTGCTTCCATAGAGCCGCGCCCGCGCCGCGCCTGGCTGCTCCCGCCGCGCGTAGGCTGTGCGGATCGCGGCCTCCGGTGGGGACACCGAGTCCCACTCGCGGCTTAGGGAGGCGGGCACCGTCATGACACCCGGGCGGCCCACGGCCCCCTCGGCCGCTGCAGTTGGCCTCCATTACCCTTTCCCGCGCCGCGCCGCCCCTCCCTGTGGGGAAAATGAAACCCAATGCCCTCAGCTCGTTGAGGCACAGGGTGGCATCCACTGTCTTTTCTCTCGGCCAAGAAAAAAGACAGAACTGACTTGAGACGGCAAAGGGGTGTGTAGCGCTGGCCGGGTCGCCTGCGGCCCCGCCCCGACGCTCTCCACCTTCTTCGCGGCCCGCCCTCCTGGCCCCGCGACTACATTTCCCAGAGGACGCCGCGGGTCGGAGGGGCGGGCCGGTCCACTCTCCCGCTCACGACCACCAACAATTGGCTGACTCGGTAGGGGGCGGGGAATACACCAGCCAATAGATGGGAGGCTCGTTACGGCGGCGGAAGCAGCGGCGCTGGAGTGAGGGGTGGGGGGCAGAGTGGTAGCGCCCCGGCGGCTGCTGTGGGTCCGAAGCTTGAGGACGTCGGCCCCGCAGACGGAGAGCGCGCGGGAGCGAGCTCGAGGCGGTGCGGTGGCCACTCGGTGCAGCACCCAGGTAATGGCGGGACGGGCGCCCGGGAGTGTAGGGGAGGAGACGAGGGGGCGGGGCGGCCGAGCCGGGCTGCACCGTCCGTCCCGTTGCGCGTCCCCGGGGAAGGGCAGAGGATCTTCGTCTCCTGTGACTCGGACCCCGGCTCTTTCGTGAGCTGTGCACGGCGGTTGGGCCGGCGACAGGGGCTGGGTGTCTTGTGGCGAGGAAGGGAGAGGCACCGGGAGGGGTGGGCTGACCCGGGCATGGGGGCGTGGCGGACGTGGGCCTTGGCTGGGAAGCAGAGCGACCGGGGGAGCGCGGGCGGGCGGGCGGCCCAGGGAGTTTGGCTCCTGGAGCAGTTTAAAGTGACTCTCCACATCCGGGCCCTGCGCCCGCCGCTTTCAGACCCCGGCCGAGGCGGGGCCTCCCGGCTCCCCGCCCCGCTTGCCGGGGGCTCCTGTCTTCCTCTGCCATTGGCTCAGCCTCGAGGGGTTTGGGCTGCCCTGGCTAGGCTCGCGCCTGATTGGCTGGCGGTCGGCGGGAGGGTGGGGCGGGATCAGAACGAGCAGGTCGCTGTAGATTGGTCCTGGGCCTCCAGTGACGCGCCGGGCGTGGGGCCAATGGGCGGGCGGGGGAGGCTGGGGCAGGTTCGGGGGAAGAGGACTGCGAGCGGAGCGGCGGCCGGGTGGCGGGGGTGAGTGGGGCCAGCGGGGCTGGACAGCGGCGGGCTCGGGCGTCGCCGCCGCGATCCCTCCCGACGCTCCCCGAGCGCAGCGTGGCCGCCGAGATGGGCCCTCCGCGGCACCCCCAGGCCGGCGAGATAGAAGCGGGCGGTGCGGGCGGCGGGCGGCGGCTACAGGTAAAGAGGCACGGTGCTCGTCTTGTGGGGCTACCCAGATCGCCCGTCCAAATCCCCACCCCGGAGACGGGGGTCTCACACTCCGAGGTGTCTGGAAACCGGTGTCCTCTGATCTCAGCGGGGGCTTCGCGGTGGGGTGGGGTTGCGGGCGAATCGGGAGATCGGCGGAGCTTGGCTCCTGAGGGAAAAGTGGGGGGCGATTTTAGAGAAGATGGAGAAGATTTTGGGTCCTCTGGCTCTGTGGAGGGGTCTATGAAAGATAAAAGGAAATCCGTAAATGGAGGCCTTTGAAGAAAAGCATTGGAGAATTCCTTTTGCATCAGATCTGGATGTTAGATATCCGATCCTTTCTTAGGGCTGGGTATCTCCCTCCGAATGTTCCTATGACATACTAATCAGAATTCTGTTCACCTTGGTTTGAGGCTTGAGTGTTTCAAAGTGACATGCCATTTTCCATAAAACTTTACAGAGAAATACACATACATTGTGGTAATACCTGTCATGTGACTGTTGTGCTGGATTCAATGGTGATTTTTTTAGCATAGCAATCCACAAGTATTTGTGGAGGGTCATAGTACCTGCCAGCGCCATGTAAACGATGTCGTTTAAAAAACTTAGGTAGTTTAGGTAATGTCTGCATTTGTATTGATCTCAAGTCATTGTTTTAAAATAAATGATGCAGCATTTGCTTTTCCAAGGGACTACCTCATAGATACTAAAGATGCTTTAATTTCTCAATATTGATTCAGATCTCAGAATCTTGTAATAACCATTTAACTATGTACTACAGGTGGAAATGAGTTCTCAACAGTTTCCTCGGTTAGGAGCCCCTTCCACTGGGCTGAGCCAGGCCCCGTCTCAGATTGCAAACAGTGGTTCTGCTGGATTGATAAACCCAGCTGCTACAGGTGAGATGTGTAATGTTCTAATGTATTTCTTCCTGCTTTAAGAATATTGCCATTTTTCTCACTTAAAAATTAGCAGATTCTTTCTAGGATTTTAGTAAATTCTTGTTTATTGAATTTGAAGAAAGGGTATATCGCTATTCTAATTTAAACAAGGCTTTTTTTCTTCCTGTTTTAACCACTTTGTTCACATGTACTAGAGTATACATGTAGCTTATAGTAAAGCATGCCTGTAAGAACTATTTTTGAAATGGATTAATGTATTTTTATTTAATTAATGTCCGGGAGTATAGCATTAGTGCTGTGAGGGAGCCCAGAGGTGTTTAAGGAACAGATCTTACATTTTATGAGTTTATTATCTAGGAAAAGAAGTGGAAAACAAAGGATATATGGTTTTCCTATGGCATCTGTGGGGGATTGGTTCCAGGACCCACCTCAGATACCAGATTCCACAAGGCTCAACTCTGATGTAAAATGGTATAATGTTTGCATATTACCTATACCTATTCTCCAGTATACTTTAAATCATCTCTAGATTACTTGTTATACCTACTACAACATAAATTCTATATAAATAGTTGTTATACTTTATTGTTGAGGGAATAATAAGGGAAAAAGTCTGCATGTGTTTAGTACAGATGCAGCCATGTTTTTTTTTCTCCCTGAATCCAAAGTCGAATCCACATCAGGGAGCTCATGGATACAGCGGGCTGGTTGTGTATACATAGATACAACTTAGTTTTTAGTCTTATGCCCTTTGAGTGGTATAAATCAGGGGTTCTCAGTGACAGTGATGTTTGGGAGGTGATTTTTCCTCCAGGGAATACTTGGCAATACCTAAAGATAGTTTGGTTGTCACAACTAGAAAGCTGTTGGCATCTGATAGCTAGAGGCCAGGGATACTGCTTAACATCCTACAAGGTAATGGGAAGCCCCCCACAACAGAGAAGTATCCAGTCCAGGAAGCAGTGCTGAAGTTGAGGAATTTCTTTGTAAACTCTTTTTCTCTATGTATTTTTTTTTTTTGAGGCGGAGTTTTGCTGTTGTTACCCAGACTGGAATGCAATGGCATGATCTCAGCTCACTGCAACCTCCACCTTCTGGGTTCGAGCAATTCTCCTGCCTCAGCTTCCCAAGTAGCTGGGACTATAGGCGCGCACCACCATGCCCAGCTCATTTTTGTATTTTTAGTAGAGACGGGGTTTCACCTTGTTGACCAGGATGGTCTCGATCTCTTGATCTCGTGATCCACCCGCCTCGGCCTCCCAAAGTGCTGGGATTATAGGTGTGAGCCACTGCGCCCGGCCTTCTCTATGTATTAGGTAAAAATATGACATTGCAAAGTTAAACTCTTTTCTATTCCTTTTTCTTCCCCACTTGATTCTGGTGTTTCTTTTGGTAAATGAGACTACTGTCTACGCATTGCTCAAACCAGTAGCTGAGGCTTTTTTTTTTTTTTTGCAGCAAAATCTCTGTCACTCAAATGGGAGTACAGTGCCATAATCACAGCTCACTGCAGCCTCAATCCATCTAGTTTTATTTTATTTTATTTTTAATTATTTTTGAGACAGAGTGTCACTCTGTGGCCCAGGCTGGAGTGCAGTGGCATAATCTCAGCTCACTGCAACCTCTGCCGATGAGGCGATTCTCATGCCTCAGCCTCCAGGTAGCTGGGATTACAAACATGCACCACCATGCCCAGCTAATTTTTTTTTTTTGTATTTTTAGTAGAGACAGGGTTTTACCATGTTGGCCAGACTGATCTGGAACTCCTGACCTCAAGTGATCCTCCCTCTTTGGCCTTCCAAAGTACTGGGATTGCAGGCATGAGCCACCGTACCCAGCTGCATGTTTAGCTCATTTTAAATTTTTTTGTAAAGCAGGGATCTCACCATGTTGCTCAAGCTGGTCTCAAACTCCTGGACTCAAGCAATCCTCCCTTCTCAGCCTCCCAAAGTGTTAGGATCACAGATGTGAGCCACTGTGCTGGACACAGTTTTCTTATGAACCATGGCCCTTGTTTAATGTTTCAGCCTCATTTCCTATTATTTTGCCTTTCTCCTGCCAACTTAGGTTTTTTTTTTTTTTTCCAATGGAGGTGGGTCTTGCTATGTTGACCACACTTCTCTCAAACTCCTGGCCTCAGGGAATGCTCCTAGCTAGACCCCACAATTCTGGGATTACAGGCATGAGCCACTTGTGTGGCTACGAACTTAGTTTCTGTTACAAATTTATTTAAGTTCTCTTTAGACTTGAAATGATTTTAAGCTACTTTATGACTCCTTCTCGATGGTATCTACTCATATTTCTAAATAAATGATTAAAAAGTTCCCCATTTCATGATATTGGGACTTTGCACATTCTTTTCCTTTTATCATAGTCTTCCTTCTTCCTTTCCATATACTGACTCATTTGGCTAATCCCTGCTTCTTTCAAGTTTCAACTTAAGATATTACTTTCTCTAGAAGAAAATTACTCTCTAGAATAGCAGAAGACTCTATCTTCCACAACAACTAAGGTAGAGGATCTAGAAATAGAACCAGACATATATAGCCAATTGATTTTTTATAAAAGTGCATAAGTAATTCAGTAGGGAAATGAGTCTTTTCAGTAAAGTAGTACTGGAAGATCACAACATCATTATAGGGGAATATAAAGGCTGGGCGCGCTGGCTTGTGCCTGTTATCCTAGCACCTTGGGAGGCTGAGGCAGGTAGATCACTTTGAGCTCAGGAGTTTGAGATTAGCATGGGCAACATGGTAAAACCCCATTTCTACAAAAAATACAAAATTTAGCTGGGGCCAGGCTAATTTCACAGTGGTTCATGCCTGTAATCTCAGCACTTTGGGAAGCAGAGGTAGGCAGATCACCTGAAGCCAGGAGTTCGAGATCAGCCTGGCCAACATGGTGAAACCTCATCTCTACTACAAATACAAAATACACCAGCTGGGCATGGTGGTGGGTGTCTGTAATCCCAGCTACTTAGGAGGCTGAGGTAGTACAATCACTTGGGAGGCGGAGGTTGCAGTGAGCCGAGATTATGCTACTGCACTTCAACCTGGGCAAGTCTCAACAACAACAACAAAATTAGCCAGGTGTGATGGCTCACACCTATAGTACCAGCCACTTGAGAGGCTGAAATGGGAGGATCACTTGAGCCTGGGAAGTGGAGGTTGCAGTGACCTGAGATTGTACCACTGCACCCCAGCCTGGGTGACAGAGTAAGATCCTGTCTCTAGGAAAAAAATAAGAACTCATAACTCAGTAAAAAGACAAAGCACCTGATTTTTTTTAAAACAAGAAAATAGTAGAGCTAGATGAGTACCAAAGAAGCTCATGAAAAGATGTTTATTAATCCTCAGGGCAGTGCAAGTTAAAACCACTGTGAGAAACTACTGCACATCAAGTAGAAAGTAAATTACAAAGACTGAGAATACCAAGTGTTGGTATGGTATGGTTGTGGCACAATAGAACTCATACTTTATTGTTGGGAATACAAAATGGCCTAGCCACTTCAAGAAACAATTTGGCAATATCTTATTAAATATATACTTACCACATCACTGAGCAATCTCATTCCACAGGTATTTATCAAAGGTAAATGAAAATGTATGTTTATACAAGGACTTTACTCACATGTTCATAGAAGCTTTATTAATAATAGCCACAACAGGGGAGAAGTCCAAATGTGTATCAGCCAGTGACTGGAT